CAGTTTGAAGTCTTTTAACTTTCTCCAGTGATATTCCTGATAACAAGGAGTTACAATAATCGAGTTTGGATAAAATTAAGCCAGTTACTAGAAAAGCACTATACGTACTATTGATCAGATGACATATTTTACTAATATGTCTTATTTCTAAATACATGCAGCTGATGAGATGATTTACCTCAGCCGACATTGACAAACTGGAATCAAAATAATGCCAAAATTTTTAACTTTTTTTGAAAATATAATTTTTGCATCACCAATTGTAATGTGATCGTGGTCAACCTCTTTAACAGACTTTGCATTGCCTGCCAGAATGACTTCTGTTTTATTATCATTCAACATCAATTTATTTTTGTTCATCCAGTTTTCACTTAAGCAATACAATTTTCAGCACGATGGACTAGTTCATCTAAGTTGGTAAACAATGTTGAACCATAAATTTGGGTATCATCAGAATACAACTCAGGGGGTACAAAATGACCCCAGGGCGTACGGATAGTGTAAATGTGTTTGCCTCTCATTCAATAGTTTCCTGGTTCGAATCCTGGTAGTGACGGAAACATTTTCTTCTCCAAAATTTGTCTCCTTTCACCTCCTTTCCTGCTCTCTTGTAATGTTCTGTCTTCTGCTTTCGCCTCCACTTTCTGCCCAAACCCACTCACTTCCTTAGTGTCGAGGGTGGTTGGTGGATGTTCTGGTTCACTCCATTTTTTGCCTTCAATTACCTATTGTCCTTATCTCTCCTCCTCCTTTTTTGTGTTTTCCTTTTTTGTGTTTTATTCTCGTTTGTGATATCTCTAATCTTCAGGACTTATGTGACTTAATTATGTTGCAAATGCAGCTAAAGGCTTGCTAAAACAAGTCTTGTCTAGTTGTCTGATTGTCCTTTGTCTGTATCCGTGGGTGGTTGAAGGGTGCTCTGGTGTGGTTTGCTCCTTCTTTCCTATAAAACGTCTATTGTCCTTATCTCTCCTCTTTCTTTTTTGTGTTTGTCACTCCCTTGTAACGCCTCTAATCTTCAGGACTTATGTGACTGTATTGTTTTGCAAGTGCCATGAAACACTTACGAAAAATAAACTGTGTCTGTATCCACGAACAGATCAGCTACGCCTCGTCTAGCTCCCTGCTGAATGACTCGCGGCTGTACCCGTACTTCTACCGCACCGTCCCGACCGACTTCAACCAGATCAAGGCCATTCTCTCCTTCCTGAACGAGAAGAACATTCGCTATGTACAGGTGAGCAGCTTGTCTCATTACCACTGGGTTTGTCGATATGTTGGGGAAGG